TTCACTTATAAATATATATAATTATTCGGGCCTTTAAACTAAACTACCACCCCAGTGCGTTGTTTCCATTCTCGACTCTTCTTTTGAGTTAGCGATCGCTGAGTAGAGTACTTGGTCTTCTTAATTGGTTCTTTTTTGGTGATCTTGCTTTCCTCTTCTACAAGGTAAACTACTTTTATGATCTTTTTTTTTTTTTTTGGATGATTCGTTAATTCGCCTAAGCTAGTCCGCTCGATTTTATCCTAAATTTGGTTATTAATTAATTCAGGCAATATGGTTTCACCATCTCCCAAACGTCTTCCCTTCATCTCACGCAAGCCAAGAATGAGGGTGATATTGCCGATTCAATTTCAACCTTTCAAGTTCACAGTCACATAAGCTAATGATCTTGTGGATGAGTCTGATTTCGAACTACCCTTTGATGATGATTATGATGATATTGCTGATGATGATCAGATTGGCTCTGATATTGGTGATAATATTTCTGACCCCAAAGTTGAGAATGATATGGATTTTGCTGAGGACGATGTTCAGGATCAAGATGATCATGTCTCTTATAATGATCACACGGACAATGATTATGATGGTCTTGATCTTGTAGATGATAGTGATCTCTCTGGGCTAGAAACTATTGGAACTCATATTCCTCTCTGCAAATGCAAGCGGCCGGCAATTCCGGTAATGCTGGATTATATTCGGCTTCAGTCCATCAGGCGTACTGCATATGTCAATGAGCTTCTTCTTGATGAGGATGAAGAAATTATAGCTAATGAAGAGATTGTCCCGGATGATGTTATTGTAATTTACGGTCATGAAGATGGAGATATTGCGGATGATGAGATTGTCTACATCTCCGATGATGAGGATGAAGATGTTGCTAACGAGGAGATTGTCTATATATCTGATGATGATGATGATGATGAGATTGTCTATATCTCCGACGATGAAGATGAAGACATTACTAGTAATCAGATTGTCCCTGATGTTTATGAGATTGCTGATGATGGTGATAGCTTTGGCAACATGGATGTTGATCATGAGGATTTTCAAGAAGATCATAGTGTCTGACGGTTTGGAATATGATAGATGATGGTTATTTCTCAGATTCGTCCCTCAAAAGTACTGCAACAAGTCTCATCAAGAAGTGTGTATTGAGATTTATTAATTATTCTGATTGATTTTTAATTATTTGATGATTTGTACATTAGTTATCAATTAGGTGTCATTAGTTTATTTGAAGGAAGTTTAGGAAATTTAGCCTAATTGAGAGAAATTATCATTAATTGATACCTTGTATTTTTGGGAATGATCCCTATTTATATCAGTGTACAACCTAATTATAAATCAACAGATAATAAAAATAAATGAATAAAATATCTAATCCGTAAACGTAGGCGAATTACCAAACCACCTAAAATCCCTTCTTCTTTCTTGTCTTCTATCTTTTTTTCTTATTTTCTAGATGATATCAGTGCGGAATTGAATACTGTCGGCCTTTGAAACCAAACCCAGAAAATCAACCACGTTAACTCTTTGTTAAAAAAAAAAAAAAAAAAAATTGAAACTTTGCAAACCTCTGCAATTTTTCAGTCCAAGTCAAAGCCCACTGCGATAATCGTCCACCGCTGGACACCAAGTTCCCTTGTTTTTCAGCCATAGTGTTGTTTGTGTTTTCCTCCCTTTATTGACTGTTGTTCTTTGTTGTTCGTGTTCTGGTTTCATTAGTATGTGGTCATTTATGTTTCAACAATATTTGTAAAAAAATAAATAAATAAAAAGAGAGAGAAAAACCGGAAAAGAAAAAAAAAAAACACTGAAAGGAAAAAAAAAAAAAGGAAAATATGATTGATTGAAGGAAAAAATATAAAAATAAAATAAAAGATGGAAAAGAAAAAAAAAACGTTTATTGAAGTTTATTTTCTCAAAGTTTTGTTTCTTTTTTGGCAAGTTGGTGTATTGTAATCAGATCATTATTTCTGGATTTAGAAGATTGACATCAACTTGAGTTGGCATGTTGAAATCCGATGACTATTTTCAGATTTAGAAGATAGCATTGACTCAAGTTGTGTATTGAATCTGATAATTATTTCCGGATTTAAAAGATTTAAACCACCTTGATGTTGGAATCCGATTAAAGTTTCCGGATTTAGAGGATTTGTTTCCTCATTAAAACTTTATTTCCAAGTTGGTATGCACCAATTTAAGGGGAGTGTTGAAATTTGTTAATTATTCTGATTGATTTTTAATTATTTGATGATTTGTACATTAGTTGTCAATTAGGTGTCATTAGTTTGATTGAAGGAAGTTTAAGAGGCTTAGCCTAATTGTGGGAAATTATCATTAATTTATACCTTGTATTTTTGGGAAATAGTTCCTATTTATATCCATGTACAACCTAATTATAATTATAAATCATCAAAGAATGAAAATGAACGAATAAAATATATGATCGGTGAACATAAGTGAATTGTCGAATCACATAAGATCCCTTCTTCTTTCTTTTCTTCTATCCTTTTTTCTTATTTTTTAGAGTGTCCTTCTCAGGAACACAGTTATTAAGGGTAGTCTGAACTCTCATTACGAAAGGGGAGCATAATTGAGAATTGTGAGGTTTTTGTCTTGTAGATTTAACATAGTAAATTACTCCAGACTAAAAGAGGATGTAGTCTCATATTAAGATAAATCTCTACAAATTTTGTATATGTTCACTTTTGTTTGATTTTCTTTTTTATGATTTTATTACTCTCGGAAATATATAACCAAGGTGTCTAATTCTAGAGAGACACTTCTAAAACTATTATATATATATATATATATATATTTAATGATAATGATAATCAACATCGATAAATGGCTCTAGTTCTCGGGGAACTGTTAAATTGGTGTCTATTTGATTATTGTTTCCTCTTTCTGATGATCGAGGAAAAAGTATCGGGGCATTTTTTTTTTTTTTTTTTTTTGTAGATTCAACTCATTTAATCCACAAAGGACGTCGTTTTCGACGTCAATTGACCAAATTTTGACTAAAAACGACGTATCGTTCCTATAAGATAAATAACCGTAGCTTTCTGTTAGAAAACAAAGGGAAAAGCCATAGGTGTGTGAGTGTGTGTCTATCAAAATTTTAATTTTAGTGGTTTCATTTTTTGAGTAAAGTGGGAGTCATGAGTCCACACTTCAGTGGTTTCATTTTTTGAGTAAAGTGGGAGTCATAAGCCCACACTGTAATAAAATATATATATATATATAAAAAAAAAAAAAAACTTGAAGCAACTTTAAAAATGTGAAGTACGTCTTTAAAAATAAAATGACATGTCCTTTATGAACTAACTCAAGTTCTATCTAAGAACGATGTGTCGTCGTTTAAAATAAAGTACAACTACAACAAACTTGTTTTCCTTTTTATTTATTTATTAGAAACTAGAAAGGACAACAAACTTTTCGATGTGATACAACATTGTCTTTTTTGGTTAAACGACAGAGAACCTTTTCTTTCTTGACCAAAAGGTCCAAAACAACAGCATACTTTCCAAAGCTGTCGTTTTTCTTTCTTTTTTTTTTTTAATTATAGTCGCAGCGACATTTTTTTTTTAATTATTTCTGTCGTTCTTACTAATTTCTCTTGACTGTTTCTTTTCATAAAATCTAATATAATTAAATTCACGTGCCTCGCACCGCAGGACTCTTTGTGGAGATTGAATAACATTAAGTACTTTTAAGTGTTATACATATTTATTTAAGGTTTAATTTTGTTCTTCTCAAGTTTATTTTGAAGATAAGTTTTTAATATTTCATCAAGAATAGATAGATGCTAATAAAATAATGAAATATTGTGGAGAGAGCAAATAATGAATTAACTTTTAAATTATAAGTTATTCTCATATTACACATGGTAATTTTATGCATGAAAGATTAAAAATAAATAACATATGTAAGTCATATTGATAGATGAGAAAATAATAGAGAGTATGTTATAAAAGAAACTAACTTTTAAAAAAGAATGAAAAAACAAATTTTGATAAAAAAATTATGAGGAACTTATTGACTCTACTTCACCAAGAAAACTAAAGAAAGGAAAATAACAACTCAACTTCGAGTATAATATTTTTAGATTAATTTATTTTAATAATAAAAGGCAATTTTTTCTTCAGAAAAAAAAAAGAAAAAGATTAATTTAATCTCACCAAAAGGAAAAAAAAATGAATATTATTAATCCATAGATATTGTCATAAGCACTTTAAAAATCAAGCCACAAAAAAAGAATAACATTGATAAAGTGATCACGCTTTAGCACCAAGGCTCCAGTATCTCCTTCCTGCATTTAAGATAATGTTTAGGCCTGCAAATCTAAAACGGTAAAGAACAACCAAACATAATATTAGGAATGCAATACTCACAACAAGAAATAACATGCCAAATATGTAGCTAAGCCTAATGCAAAAGAGAAATACAGGTAGTGGCAAAGAATTAACTTGTTGGAATACCAAATTTGTATGCTACCCCAAACAAGCAAATAACAAATGAATTAAACTTAAAATATTTTTATTTTGTTGTTTTCTTTTAAATATTTTAATATCTTAAAATATTTTTGTATTTTTTTTAAAAAAAATATTAATTTCTAATTAATTGATATAAATAATAGTTTAAACATTATATGTCGTAAAAATTAACTTCAACGTGTCAAAAAGATATTTTAAAAAATGTAAGAGTATCATTTTAATATTATAAAAAAACATAATACTAAAAACATATTTTATTATAATACAATGTGTAAAAATAATTTTATCATTTTTATTAATAGTCAGAGCAACATTTTTTTATTATTATTGTTCATGTTGAAGTTGAACGAAATCACAGAAAAAGAAAAAAAAAAATATAAAAAATAAAAAAATTGGAAATACAAGCAACCAATCAAAAGCTTCGGTTTGAGCGGAACGTGATAATATTTAGGAGACACAAAACAAACCCCTCCACTTTTTACAGTTGGTTAAGAAGAGACTCGAGACTCTTTCTCCTGTCTCTGTCTCCTTCCTCTTCTCTCTCTCTCTCTCTTCCCCAATGCTTTGGTATATACTCCCAGCATCTCTTTTATCCTGCCCTTTCCATTCCTTCTTTTAAAATCCACTTTCTCTCCCTTCCTCTGGCACAGACTGCTCAACAATGGCGCATTCCTCTCCCATACTCAATCACAAGAACCAATTCCTCTTCTCCTTCATCTCCAAAACCTCCAACTCCAACTCTCACTCCCATTACTCTCTCCGCCTCGCAAAACCGCCTCTTTCTCTCGGCTTCTCCTCTTCTTCTTCTCCTTCGCCGTCGCCGTCGTTGACGCCTCGTTTGCCCGTCGCGCGAGTCACCACCGCGCCGGTAGAGTTTGCGCCGCCGCCGCCTCCGGAATTCGACTTCCGGCGAGAAATCTCGCGCCTTAAAGCTCTTCGCTCTAGACTCTCGAGGTGTGAAAGCCTCCGAGAGAGGCTCAGAATCGTCGGCGGTGACCGGATAGTGAAGGACTTTTTTGGTTCCGGCAGAAGCGGTTTCTCTAGGGTTTTGGCCTCGTTGAATTTGTGCTCCTACGAGTTGTTCTTGCTCAAGTGCTTGGTCGCGACCGGGCAGGAGCACGTGCTGACTTTCGGGTTTCAGTTCGTGGACGACGAATTCGAGTCGGCGAGGGGCTCGATCAAGAGCGCGCTTTATGCTCTGGTTGGCATGATTGAGAAATTGGACGTCAATGGCGGTGGCGGCGAATTGAATGGGATTGGTTTGACTTTGAACGATGAAGACATTGGGGACTTGAGGAAGCTGTTGAAGATTTTGGGAGAGGTCGAACAGTTCTATGATTGCATTGGAGGAATTATTGGGTGAGTTTCTCTTTGCATTGTTTCTTAAGTTTAATTTTGTATTTTTTGGAGCTGGTTTTCTAGGTGAATGGTTTTAGTCATGCGTTTGAATTCTAGCTAACTGTAGGTGGGATTAAGAAGATGTTTAGAATGATAGGTTTCCCTATTTTGACGGATAATGCTGACAATATCAATCCTATATCTATATGCAAGCATAGTTTTGGAAGCATGTTCTATGAAATTTTTCATCTTTCTTGATGGTTATGCTGATAAATTTCAACTATAATAATCTTGCTTCTACAAAAGAGTTTCAAATGGCCTTTTCGCTGAAAAGATTCGGATTTTTCTTTTGTTTATTTAGTTTGGATGGAAAACGAATAAATACTTGCCTCATCCAAACGGTCAAATAGTTCAAAGTTCACCCAGGCCTGAATTATTAAAATTATGAAGATGCTTGAAATGATGGAGATAATTGATCTACATTCATATAAGAATTGGTTACTGTAGGTTAGGAAAGAGTATAATGTAAAGAATTATGAGGTTCAATCCCAATTATTATTATTCGCTACAAACTTATGTTATTTGGCCGGAGCTGAAGTTCTATATAATAGATGTCTATTTTTAAAAAATTATTTTAGGTGGAGATCAGAGGAGGGAGGTATATGCAGAAAATATGATGAAAATTTCAAAGTATACATTATTCTTACGACAACAATACAACAATAACAAGTCTTAATCCCAACTTAATTAGGGTCCGCTATATGAATTTCACTTTTTCACACGGCTCTGTTCGAAATTATACTTTCCTGAAGGCCTAGATCTAGAATGTTTTTCCTAACGACTTTGGTCCACGTAATTCTTGGTCTACCCATCCCTCTCCTAGTATTAGGTATAAGAATGTCCTCCCAAGCACGAATTGATGCTTCTAGCGGTCTACGTTGGACATGCCCAAACCACCTCAAGCGGCCTTCGCGTACCTTATTTTCTATTGGTGCTACACCTACTTTACTACGAATAACTTCATTCCTTATGCGGTCCATTTTCGTGAGGCCACTCATCCATCTTAACATACACATTTCTGCCACACTCATCTTAGATATATGTTGTCTTTTAATGGCCCAACAGTCACTACCATATAACATAGTGATAAGAACAGAATGTAGAATCCAACTAGAAAGAATTGAAAGAATGAAAGTAATCTTTATTGACTAACAGAAATGAATACAAGGGCAGTCCTTCGAGATACTACTAATCTCCCCTGCTCAGCACAAGCCAAGACTTCCTGTACAAGACTCATCCTAATCTATTCTTCTCCCCCCCACCCAATTATCTATTTATACACACTCCCTTATACAACTTTGAGCATACCTCCTTCTAACAACTAACACTAGCACAACCCTTTAACCTATTTGCCCCTCTTGCCTTTCCGAACATACACCTGTTTAAGCAAGGGCTTATTAGGCATATCAATTACTCCGTCCCCCAAAAAAGTCACCTTGTCCTCAAGGTGAAATTCAGGAAATTGGTGCCTGACTTCCAGCTGCCCCATTACGGTAGAAAAACGAGTAGCTAACAATCTGTCCGGTTCCACGCGTAACTCCAAGTCAGCAGTTAAAACTTGCGAGACCTCCTGGGCTGGAACAGCCAGGCCAATGGCTTTCTTAAGCTGTGAAACATGGAAAACCGGGTGAATCTTGGCAGCCTCGGGCAGTTGCAGCCGATATGCTACCGAACCCACCCGCGCAAGCACTCTATAGGGACCATAAAACCGTGGAGATAGCTTTTCATTGGTGAACTTGGCCAACGAACGATGACGATAAGGCCTGAGTTTCAGGAACACCAAATCCCCTACTTCAAAGGACACATCCCGGCGTTTGAGATCCGCTTGCCATTTCATAGATTGCTGGGCCTGTAACAAATGTGCTTGAAGCTCATCCAAAATAGCATCCTGCGATTGCAATTGCTGCTCCAACAAAGAGTTAGCTGTTGAGCCCGACTCAAAGCGTAGTAATTTGGGAGGATCACGACCATATAAAGCCCGGAAAGGAGTCATTCCCGCAGCCACATGGAAGCTAGTGTTATACCAGTATTCAGCCCAAGCAAGATGAGAAAACCAATGAGTAGGTTTTCCGGACACAAAGCAGCGTAAATAAGCTTCCAAGCACCTATTCACCACCTCCGTTTGGCCATCCGTTTGAGGATGGTAAGCCGTACTATGATGTAAAGCAGTACCCTGCAACTTAAAAAGTTCATTCCAAAAATGTCGTCTAGGGCTCATACACAGATTTTGTACGAGCCCTAGACGACAACACCTGACTGAAATAGGCTATTGGCCGCTGTTGTTGCATCAAAACCGCGCCAATACCAAACCCCGAAGCATCTGATTCAATCACGAATGGATGGGAAAAATCCGGTAAGGAGAGAACCGGGACCGTAGTCATGGCGTGCTTCAATTTCTGAAAAGCAGTTTCCGCTTCCGTTGTCCAATGAAAACTGTCCTTCTTCAATTGCTGTGTCAACGGCCAAGCATGATGGCCATACCCAGCCACAAAGTGCCGGTAATAACTGGTCAAACCAAGAAAACTGCACAACTCCTTGAGGGAACGAGGAGTCGGCCACTCCAACATCGCGTGAATTTTACTAGCATCCGCTGAAACACCATCCCCCGACACATGGCTCAAATATTCCAACTGACTACTAGCGAAAATGCATTTTTTTTTATTAACATATAAATGATTGGTCTCTAAGGCAGTAAAAACCTTCTCCAAATGAGTGACATGTTCCTCAAAAGTCTTATTGTAGACCAAAATGTCATAAAAAAATACTAAGACAAACTTCCTCAAGAAAGGCTTCAATACCTCATTCATCAAAGATTGGAAAGTGGCCGGGGCATTGGTCAAACCAAAAGGCATCACTAAAAATTCGTAGTGACCCTTTTCGGAACATCCTCCTTGCACATCTGAATTTGGTGGTAACCGGATTTAAGTCCAATTTAGTAAAGATGGTGGCACCACATAATTCGTCCAAAAGCTCCTCTATTACCAGAATAGGAAACTTGTACGGAACTGTAGCTCTGTTGAGGGCACGATAATCAACACAAAAGCGCCAGCTGCCATCTTTTTTTTTAACTAAGAGAACTGGACTAGAAAATGGGCTGCTACTTGGTTGAATGATCCCAGCCACTATCATCTCTCGAACTAGCTTTTCGATCTCATTCTTTTGGAAATGAGGATATTTGTAAGGCCTGACGCTAATGGGAACGGTACCCTCCTGAAGAATAATCCGATGATCCCTCATCCGTTGAGGAGGAAGTCCGTCCGGCATATGTAAGACTCCCGAATGACGCTGCAAGACTTCCCTAATCTGTTCTTGCAGTTGCTGGCCGGATTCCCTGACTACATTCACAGCCGGTTCTTTGTTCGCATCCAAGGCACACAATTCTAAATAGATGCCATGGCCCTCATGCCTTATAGTCCTAACCATGGCCTTAAGAGAAACCATAGTGGTGGAAAGGCTCATGTCTCCCTTCAAAACAACCGCTTCTCCCCGAACCTTGAATTTCATTACTTGGGACTTCCAATTCACATGCATTCCCCCCAAAGTTTCCAACCATTGCATGCCTAAAATTACATCCACTCCCCCCAATTCCAGAGGCAAAAATTTTTCCACAATAGTGAAGTGTGGTAAACTCAACGCTACCTCCTACAAATTTCTTTTCCCCTAACCGATTCCCCCGTTCCCACTTGGACTCCAAAACCGGCAGTAGGAGAAATAGGAATCGACAATCTCTCCACAAGACTTAAAAGAAATAAAATTGTGAGTTGCACCGGAATCAATTAAAACGATTACCTCTTGTCGAGCAATCAAGCCACGAAGCTTCATGGTCTTAGGTGTCGAAAGTCCCACCACCGAGTTCAATGATAACTCAATGAGTTCCGGTTGCCCTTACCCCCAATCAGGACTCGGCAGAACCAGCCTTTCCTCTTCACAATCCTCGGCGTCCTCATCACTCACCAGCATTATCTGCAGCTCCTTCTTCTTACAACGATGACCAAAGGTAAACTTCTCGTCGCACCGAAAACACAACCCCTTATCCCTCTTTTCTTGCAACTCAGAATCCGACAACTTACGAAACGGAAAATCTTGCTTTTGAGTTGTCGTGTGCTCTAAGGAAGCAGGAGCTCGCAATGGTCGCTCCACCACCGGTATTGATTGACCCGGAGTTGGTGAAAATTCCCCTCTCGAGAAGTTATGTGATAGTGACCTCGAAAACCTTGTTTCTGATCCCTCCCGACGAAGCAACTCATTTTTTTCTTCGATCCTTTGAGCAATTTCCATAATTTCTCCTAACCCCTCTGGTTTCAAGAGCCGTAATTCCGCCCGAATTTGAGCCTTTAACCCATTAACAAAAATCCCCTCCAAAACCTCTTCCGGCACATCCCGAAGTGGGGCTGCCGAAACTTCAAATTTCCTGCGGTATTCAGCCACTGTACTTACTTGTCGAATGGCTAAAAATCTCTCACAAAGATTCCCCTCTTGCGAAGAACGAAAATGCTGCAGTAACGACAGCTTGAATTCTGCCTAACTATGGAAGGGTCTGCGGCCATTCTGCCATTGAAACCAAGACAGTGCATCACCCTCCAAAGCTATTCCAGAAGTTACCAACTTTTCCCTTTCCGAGCAACGGTTGATGGAGAAAAACTGTTCCATCCGGAACACCCAGCCGTCAGGGTCATCCCCGCTGAAAATTGGGCACTCCATCTGCCGCCTTCGAGGCATCGCTCATTCCTCATTAACCGGTAATTCCTCTAGTACTCCTCTGCCCTCCCATTCGTCCCTAAACCGTACTCCCACATGAGGATTTCTCCCTCTTTCCAACCCTCGGTGGATAGGGCCACCAAATCCCTTCCACCTTTCATCGAATTCCAGAGCCTTCCCTTCACAGGGAGCACCCCGCCCCTCTCCCTTCTGACCATTCCAATTTTTCTCATGGACACCCATCGGAAACTCCTTGGCCAACC